GAGGAAAAGATACAGAGCTACTTCTATTTTTAAATGTATTTAAAAGATCAGATTTCTGATGGGCAACCCTTGTTTTGCAATTTCTGCTCATTAACAGAAGTTTATGGGTGGAGGAGGAACTCATATTTAAGTGGAAGTATGTCACTACATTTCAGTGGACCCTCAATATTTTGTATGCAGCTAACTTTTGCAGTATAGTTTTGAGAAAAGGCGTATACTGTTACAATTGGTTTCAACTGACTTATGAGAAAAAATATTATGGTGACTGTTTCTTTAGGAAATTATAACATCTTATATTTATAGAATCATAGATTGGTTTGAGTTGGAAGGGACCTTAAAGCCCACCCAGTGCCACCCCCTGCCCCAGGCAGGGACACCTTCCACTAGCCCAGGGTGCCCAAAGCCCCGTCCAACCTGGCCTTGAACCCTTCCAGGGAGGGGGCAGCCACAGCTTCTCTGGGCAGCCTGTGCCAGGGCCTCACCCCCCTCACAGGGGAGAATTTCCTCCTTAGATCTCATCTAAATTTCCCCTCCCTCAGTTTAAAACCATCACCCCTTGTCCTATCCCTCCCCCTGATGACGAGTCCCCCCCACTTTCCTGCAGCCCCTTTCAGCCCTGGGAGGCTGCTCTAAGGTCTCCCCGGAGCCTTCTCTCCTCCAGCTGACCCCCCCAACTCTCCAAGCCTGTCCTCACAGGGGTGCTCCAGCCCGCCCCCAGCATCTCCGTGGCCTCCTCTGGCCCTGCTCGAGCAGGTCTGTGTCCTTCTGCTGTTGGTGCCCCAGAGCTGGACCCAGCCCTGCAGGGGGGGTCTCCCAGAGCGGAGCAGAGGGGAAGAATTCCCCCCTCACCCTGCTGCCCACCCTGCTCTGGGTGCAGCCCAGCACACGGGGGGCTTTCCGGGCTGTGAGCACACATTGCTGGCTCACAGGCAGTTTTCCATCTGCTAATACCCCAAGTCCTTCTCCCAGAGGCTGCTCTCAATCCACTCATCACCTAGCCTGAATGTGTTATGTGTTACTGTTCAAAAACTTTTACATATATGTGCCTCATTAGGTCTTCAGAGATGTGCTTTAATGGAAATTTGTTTTATTTTTGTTTATAGCTCTAGGAACAGTCACATAGATCAACAGCATGAGGAGTATGTGAACCTGAAACATCACATGGAGAGAAAAACCCAAGAATTGGAAGGAGAGCTTGCTTATCAGAAACAGGTATAAGAATACAGAGAAGCAATGTTGTGTTGCTCTAGTGCCATCTAGCCATCCTCTTTTCAATTTTATTTTTTTATTAGAATTTAACACTGCTGTAGTTGTATAAGCTTTTAAATTTTTTCCTTTTTTTGCTTAAATTGGTGAGATTTGTAATGATGGTTCAGAAAATTATGCACTACTTGTGTAGTAGCTATTGCTTGTCTGGAAGCTTCCCCTTGTAAGGAACTGTTAAGAATGTGTTTAGCAATCTGAGATTGTGTAAGATTATTTTGTGTAGACAGCACACTGCTAAATTTGTTAACCTTGAAATCGCAGGAAAGGTCAGCAGCTAGAAAGCAGAGGCAGCCTTAAGCAAGATGGGTAAATGTACATTGTTTGTCATACTCCTAATTACAAGGTGCTTCCCCCTCCCCCTTCTGCCTCCTATATTGCTGTCATTTCATTGTAAAAGCATAATCTTACTAACAGTGAAATTTGACCTTCAACTGTGATAGCTTAGGAAGGCATTACACCACCTCTATATTACGAATTTAAAGAACAACAAAACCTTCCTTCTTTGTTTTTGTACAAAATGTATTTGATATTAAAATATCTTTTAATTATTTACATATGAATGTGTTTAATTATTAGAATTAGAATGATTCCTTTTTGGCCTGACAACCAAGCCAATATGTAATGTAAATGGAAGCGGTGAAAGAGATTGTTAGGCAGTTACATATTGCACCCAACACCTGCCAGTCCACATCTCGCTGCCCTCAGTATAGTGGTCCTGCTGAAAGAACCTGTCATCCAGGAGTCTTTTACCTCCCCGAAGGCAGTTTATGAACCTACCCAAAGGAGTATGAGCACTTCTTACTTGAACAATACTTAATAACTGGCTTGATTTAGAAATTGTGTTGCGTGGTTAAACTATAATGATAAAGCTGGTTAACTGTTGTTCCGCAAGCATAAGGGCATTCCATCTCATACACACTACACCTTGTAACTTTTTTTCCCTCCAGTGTGGTATCTCCATTGTTTATGACTTGCAACTAAAGAAGCATATCTTACATGCTTGGCTTTGGGTCTCTTTGCAGTCATTTCCCTTAACCTAACAAATGATATTGCATCAGTTAGCCAAAATCCCTTGTGACCTCATCCTCTTGTTTTCAAGTTTCAATTGTGATTTATCAATTGAACTTCTGGAAGTAGTATCTCATAAAGATTTTTAATACAATCTAGGCACTTGAATGTCCACTCACTGTAGCAGTTTAATTTCTGGAAAATCCATGGCTTCCTTATGAACAGTTTTTCATACATGTATAAAACACTGCTGTTGTGAAGAACGAGTTTCCTGCTTCTTCAGTGGTGTCTTCGCTGGTGTCTCTAATTTCTGTGCTTTGGACTCTGAATAACTTGCAATGTTACTTCAGAAGAATTTCATACCAGAAGCCGGGGTATTTGTGGTATGCATCTCAATTTCATTCATAGTGACTGGGGTTTTTCCTACACAACCAGAAACTATATATAGGTCTTTGAAAGGCCTGTCTCATCCTTCTAAGGCTAGTAAGGAGGAGTTCGCTCTTCTAAAATTTGTATTCGCTGCATGTGCAATCTTTGCTAATCATCATCCAACATTACTTTGGCTGATCCTCTTGTGCCTGTGTTCACTTGCTTCATGGTGGTATCTGATTGCTTAATAATTCAGCAAGTCAAGGTGTATAGATAGAGGTTGTGAAAAAACCCCTCACATTAAACCAGCTTACAACATTGGGCTATCAGAAAGAGGGCTTGTATGCCTAAAAGATAGCCAGCTTTTTCCAGCTGTGTTGATTTTTGTCGAATTAAAAGACTTCTGCGTACAGACTTTACTTTGTCAAAGGCATATTAGGGTAGCAAAAGGTTGTGTGGCCATTATTGGTATCCACGTACTCCTGCATCTTGATTGACACAACTGGAGTTTAGTTTCTTGGTTTGTTTTCTTGCCTTGTCTTCGGCCTTCTTTAAAGGACACCACTGTAGTAACGGACCTAAACCCACTTTGTATTATTGTGGTCTTGACTATAAAGATTGAACGACCAACTGCTGTTGGCTCTCATGAGACCCTTCCGGCAGTACCTTGTTCAGCTCTGGAGCCCCCGACATAAGAAGGGTATGGACCTGTTGGAGCAACTCTAGAGGAGGCCACAAAAATGATCCAGGTGCTTGGAACACTTCCCTTATGAGAACAGGCTAAGATAGTTGGGGGGTTCAGCTGGAGGAGAGAAGGCTCCGGGGAGACCTTAGAGCGGCCTCCCAGGGCTGAAAGGGGCTGCAGGAACGGGGGAGGGACTCGTCATCACGGGGGGAGGGATAGGACAAGGGGTGATGGTTTTAAACTTACATAGGGGAGATTCAGATGAGACTGAAGGAAGAAATTCTCCCCTGTGAGGGGGGTGAGGCCCTGGCACAGGCTGCCCAGAGAAGCTGTGGCTGCCCCCTCCCTGGAAGGGGTCAGGGCCAGGTTGGACGGGGCTTTGGGCAACCTGGGCTAGTGGAAGATGTCCCTGCCCGGGGCAGGGGGTGCCACTGGATGGGCTTTAAGGTCCCTCCCAACCCAAACCAATCTATGATTCTGTGACTCAGTATGAATAAAGGAACTACAACTGCATGCATACTTATTAAATGTAAGTTTGCACATACTGTTTACTCTGTGATATGCAGTATAACTCTGATAGTACTTTAGAAGAAACCTTTAATCTTTGCAGTTTTCAGACTTGAGTGCTTGATTAGGTATCTCTAGTACTGCTTCATCTTCTAATACTGTTTGCAGCTGTATCTAAATATAATAGCTCTCAGTAGGCCTCGTGTGCTAGATGCTGTTATATCTTTTTTCTTTCTTTACAAAACATATTGTCTATATTGAGTTATGCATTTTATATATATATAATTCGCACCTGAATTTGAGGTGGAAGTGTTAAGGGAAGGAGAGGTCACCTGCAGTCATTTCCCCCATGTATTAATGAAGCCAAGAAATCACTGAATAAAAAACCTGTGTAAAAGGCACAGATAAGGATTAATGTTAATGTAGGTAATAAGTGTAGGAAGAGGCTACAAAATGGATATTTAGCAGTAATATGGGAGTAGAAATCTAAATAACAGCAGAGGTTGCGGGTTATGGAGAAGGTGTTTTTAAGTGCTTTGTTGACCTAATGCTTATATGGTAAAAAAATGTTACTTACAAATTAAAAAAAAAAAAAAAAAAAAAAAACCAACACAAACAAATAAAAGAACCACACACCCCCAAAAAACCCACCTCACAACTTTCTATAGTATTTTGTATCTGGAGCTCTTAAAAAATAAGGTTGTATCAGCCTCTCATTAGAATTCTTAAGTCTCATTCTCCTCATTTTTAAGGTGAAGCTGCTGACCAGAGAACTGGAGGCACTCAAAGAGGGTGGAATACAACCAACAGAATCACTGCAAACAGCAGAAATGTTTGATTTGAGACTGGAGAAAGAAAAGCAGTTCAATGATTTTGTTGCTGTGAAAGATGCTTGGTATTGTATAATTTTGTTTATAATTGAAATAAACTTCTTTTCACAGACTCTATAGTTCCATAACACTTTCAACTTACTCTTTTTCACATACTCTTAGTTCAGCAACATCTTGAGATGGTATACATGAATTAATTGATCTAGTAATATATATTGTTACAACAGCAGGAGGTAACCCTTTCTATGAAGTATTTGCTAAGTCACATGGATTCCGGTTAATTCTGCTACATTCTTCCTACATGTAACCTGTCTCACTTCAAATAAAATTTTATCTTAGAAGTTTTAATGGTTCAATGATATCTTCTGCCTTTACTGCAAAAAGCAGTACCTCTTCCAAGCAGTAAATATAATGAAAAAGCTTAGTTCATTCCACTTCCAGAGTGTGTGGCTAGTTTTGGTGTATCGTATTTCCACACTTGATTTGAATCCAGTAAGTCCATTTATGTTCAGTCACAACTTTATACTTTCTCAAGCAGCTACAGATAGATTGTGAATATAGTGACAGAAAACAACTCATTCATGCAAGAGTATTATTGGGGTGTCTGTCTTTTATGTTTTACTCATCACTAGTTCAAACTTAAGAAATAAGACTTCCTCATAGTTCAATTATGGTTTCTTCTGGGTTTTTTTTAAATCCTTTATATTCAAAATGTTGGATATATTTTGAAAATTTATATGCAGGTCAATGTCAGAGGGTAAGAACATTATACAGCTATTACTTGCATATCTGCTTTTTTATTTACTGTTAGATTTGAGTTTTCTGTAGGCACTATCTGGTGTTTTTTTCTAACTCACTTCTGTCTTATTTTAAACCTGATGTCTCCTTTGGTGTGAGAGCATGCTCAGGAAATTAATTTGTGAATGAAAAGTAAATATTCAAGGAAGCATTTTTGCTCTGTGGATCCCCACAGTCTCTTAAATATTTGGGCCACTTGGGTGTAGATGTCTTTCAGTTGTTCAGTTACTGTGAAGAATATTTTCAGTATGGTAAAAGAGGATGCTGAATGGAGTAGTTTACTTGTTAAAAAAGCTTCTCTATGAGTCATCTTAAAAAAAAAAAATCAATCAAAAAAACCTTAATTTTTAGGGTCACCCAGATCCCATATTTAGGTGAAATATTGTTGTAGTTTGTGCTAATCAGGAACTTAAAGTTCTGTGATAAATTGGAGTTAAACTTTCTGCAGTGGTATAAGAGGGATTCAGCTCTGGTCCTACATACAACTAAATAGTGGCATTTTTAGTTGGGAAAAACAACCACAAAAGACCTTCCTGCAACCTGTTCCACTGACAAGTGGATATTGATTTCTGTTTTCACTGCTTCTGACAATGATTCTTTGAACTTGCTCGAACCAAATTGATAAGAAATTAAATCAACCATACTAAAAAATAATGTGCTTGTGTTGCTTGGAACTTCTCTTTATTCTGTCTCTCAACATCTTCCAGGCATGAAGAACTAGCTCATGTTGCCAAGGAAAAGGGTGCAGTGCCTGCTTCAGTGAAAGAAGCCCAAGTCAAACAATTTAAAAAGTTGAAGCAGCAGATACGAGAACTGCAGATGAGACATAAAAGTCTGGAAATTGAGCTATGCAGAAGAGAATGGAGTCACAGTGCTTGTTTGAGAAAGAAAGATACTCTTACTAGAAAGTGAGTGACTTAATTTATCTTGTTTCGTAAGCTGTCATGAAAGAAATTTAGAACATCATACTTGCCAGTTTTGTGCCCAATTTATATGATAAGCTCACAGTAATTCATGGTTAGACAGACACCACAGCTGGAGTACTGTGTCCAGTTTTGGTCCCCACAATTGGGAAAAAGACTTGGGTAGGCTGGAGAGGGCCACAAAGATGGTCAAAGGGCTGGAGAACCTGCCCTATGAAGAAACACTGTAGGAGTTGGGTCTTTTCTCTCTGGAGAAGGCTTGGGGGTCTTCGTCACAGTTTTCTAGTACATAAAAGGTGACTACAGAGAGGATGGAGTTTCTCTTTTCACAGGCAGCCACGTGGAGAAGACAGGGGGCCGTGGGTACAAGTTGCACTGCAAGAGGTTTTGTCTCAATGTAAAAAAACTTTTTTTTTTTTTTTTTTTACAGTGAAATCAATCACTGGAACAACTGCTCTAGGGACATGGTAGAGTCCTCATCACTAGAGATTTTCAAGACACATTGGACAGGGTGTACTAGATAATCCCATCTAAGCTTGAAATGCTGGGGTTTCAACCTCAAGCCCCAAATTAAGGTTGCCATAGGGGTGATCCCCACAGCCCTTCACAAAGGGGTGGTGAGTTTCCCTTTAAACTTCCCTCTGGCCTTGCGGTGAGAGCCTGCAAGGTAAATGTGCCCCAGGTGTCCCGCATTAAGTAAGGAAAGGTCAGGAATCCCACCTAGGGGATAAAAGCTGGCACCACTTTCAGGAAGAGTGGAGTGTCTGTCTGTGAGGTGGAGGCATTCTGCAGAGTTCCCTGTTAGGGAAGGACCTCCTGACTCCCTGGAACTGGGCTCCAGCCAGGTCTGGCTTTTGTAAATGCTGGCTGTGTAGAGATTCATTATGTGGCTTCCTTGGTTTTACGTGTTTGGCTTGTTGACTCGGTTGTCTCCCATCCCTTCTATGAGAGACTGCATTTCACCATTTATTCCACCCATTGTTGGTTGTGCGGTGTCATTGTTGGGGTCAGTGGGATTGATGTCAATTATACATAATCTGACTTGTTTGTACCCCCAGCGCTCACCCATGTACTGACCCTTTTGTATCAAATACAATTTGGTTATTGGTTCATCTTTTTGCTGGCTGTGTCCTTTATGCTAGGCCTAATAATTGGCAAAACAAGGCTTCCTTTCCCATGAAAGGTTGGATCAGGTGATCTTTCCATCCTGCGTTGTTTGATGTTCTGTGTATATTACTGCAAGAAAACTTGTAGCAAAATTTCAATATATGCATATAAACATTAGTTTTATGATTGACATGATTAAAAAACATGTTCTCAAGGTTTAACAAGAAAATGGAGTCATGTGGAAAAGAAAGTATCTGGGAACTTAGAGAAGGAACAACACACTGGAAGAAGAATTTCTTTCATAGCCAGCCTGGAAAGAGGCGGCTGTCAGTCCAAGGCGGCCACTGGAAACCAAAGAATTGCTTAGGTGGCCTTCATTCTGTATGACTGGAAATGTGGGGTTTACAGTATGCATTTGGCTCATGAAAAAGTCCCTCTGATCTCCCTCTAATTAAAAAAAAAAAGTAATTAAACAGTTTTATATCCAAGATTGAATCACATTTTTTTTTGTCTTAGGCAAGTATATATTAACAGGGGAGGGAAGTTGTTCTTGTACATGGACTTCAAGAAGAAATTGTAGTGCTAAAAACAGGCCGAGGTTCTAATCTGATTAAGATTTTTAAGGAGTCTGCCTCTCAAACGTTCCAGATTCAATCAGTGTGTGGACAGGAAGAGAAGTTGCAGGCAAAGTTGGCCAAATTCTAGAAAGATGCAGAATAGTAAAGACAACTAAGACTTTGTCTAAAGTGACATTTACAACCAATCTTAAGAGTGCCCTAAAGCCCTGACAGCTTTGTGTTTTATAAGCTCAACCATATGACAACTGAACCTGTCTTGAAAACCCTTAAATTGTGAATATAAGGTTTGTCTCATTTCATGCATCTCCTATCTCTTCTCTTCCAGCAGTGTTTTCAATGTACATATATGCATCAGCCTTTGAGCTTAGGAGTTTTATCTTGATAATCCAACAACTTTACATCCTAGCACTTTTGTATCTCATTTCTGTTATTAGCATATGGGAAATGTGCTGTGGATGGTATTGCCAAGAACAGTATTGGTGTTGAAGAGCAGTTTATGCTGCTTGAGCTGAGATGACCTCCAAGGGTGATTCTGAATACCCATATAGATGGACTCTAGGAGACTACTGAGCTCTGAGCAATTAAAATGCTTTTGTCCAGCAAAATACTTAGAGGAGAATAGAGTAACATAGATAACTGGGAAAACAGAACAAGGAAAGATGAGGACAGCAAACAAGATGGGTACTTAAAAAAAAAAACCCACAAACAAAACCAAAAAAACCCCAAACAAATACAACAAAAAAAAAACCCCACACAAAATATTCTCAGTATTTATCCTTCTGAAATCAACAGCTTTGCTCTGTCTATCATAGGTATAAACAACAACTGTCTCTAGCAGCTGAGCAAGAATGGGTTCTGGAACAGAGTAAAATGCAAGCAGAACTGGACTGGCAGCAGCCAGTCTGTGAGAATGCTGAGAGCAATCAGTATCAGAAATCAGAAGATCTAACACAAAGCCTGTCTTCAGCAAGAGAGCAGGTGAGAATTTCAAATTAACACTGTTGAGGAACCATCTGTTGCGTAGAGAGCTATGTAGTTTTTATGTCATGGTGTTTCTCAGGGGAAGCATGACTTCAGTCTTCTTTCAAAAATCTGTAAAACAGTAATTCTGTATTGTGCACAGCAGTTCATCAAATATATTTGATCAGACACCAGGTTAATTTTCATGGACTATCTCTAATAGCAGCTTTTGCTTCCTTGTAATGAAGTCAGCTTGAGAGATGCCACTGCTTTTCTCTTGGCATTGTAGCAGAAGAAGAAAGATCTCTCTTAGAGCAGCCCCAGGCCAAAAAGAGTTTCAGATCACAGTACAGTATGAATTCTATCAAGGAAACAATATTAGTCTGGAAAACTGAGAGTGGTTTTGTATGGAAAAAAAGTACATACAAAAAGTATGCACAACCTTCTGTTTCTGAAAAATGAAATATGTGTTTATTGTTTAGAGACTATCAGACAATGGGCTAGCAATAATTCTCAATGACTGGTAGCCTGGTGAACTCACAGAACCAGAGGAAACACTTGTTAATGAAAGTGAGAATGCAGGCATTTACTCTGGTGTTTTGTTTTATTACCATTTTCTTCCCAAAATGATTAATAGGCATCAATAGGTGTAGCATAGGAACACATCTGAGAGATTAATCAGCATTGTCCATTTTATATACAGAAGATGAGACAATGAAGTCAAATTATTTTTCCATGAAGGCCATTTTTGACAGAGCCAAAAGGAATATGCTTTAAGTCTCTGTCCTGTGATTTAAAATATATTTTTCTTTGATTTCCTTCTCTTTTCTTTTTTTTTTTTAATCTCTACACCCTTTGCCCTTGAGCTACTGATGTCCTCTGCTTTCCCTCCCTTACATCCCTCCTAAATTGAAGTTGATCTACATAAAACAGATTACAGGTTGCATGAAGTGAAGACTGTTCTTTCTGCTTGAACTGTTGAGAGAGAACAGACAATAAAAACATCATTTATTCACAGTATTTTACCTGAAGGGGAGAAATAGGTTATTTCTAAATGTCTTGACTTGGATTAGTTCATTCTGAGATGACAACTTTATGTGGCTTGTTTCCACTGGACTTCTAAGCAGTTCATCTGCTTCATAAGTTTAATTCAAAATATAGACGTATCTAGCCTGGAATACACATATCTTAGGTGTCACAGGCTTCATTATGGCTCTCATTCATTGCTCGCTGGCAAAAGGAGCAAGCTGGATGTAGGCAGCTTCTCCAAAACTGGACAATGTACTGTATCATCATGACACATCAGAATGGGAAGAATTAATTTCTGGAATGTTCCCGAGGCTTTGTGTTGGTTGCAATTCAGAGTAGATTTTAAAGCTGTAAAGTTAAAATTTTAAGACAGTGTTTCAAAATACTGATTTGCTAGCTGTTTAAAATAACGTATTTTATTTTAGTATCACAAACATGTTTTCCTTTTATTGATACTTATTAAAATACATATATTTTTAAAAAGCCATTCAGAATCGCAAACATAATGCTGTTTTTAAGCCATGGTGAAGGATAATGCATTATGTGTAGAAAACTGTCTTTCGTAAAGGAATGAAAGTAAAGCGTGTGCTGCAGTGCACCCTAGTGGGCAGCTGCAGGTGCTCAACAGTGAGCAGTTAAAAGTGTTTTAACAGAGCTTGGTAAGAAAAAGCAGTGTTAAGCAAGCCTAGTGGCTTCTGAATGCAGAAAGTGTTGCATTCAGGAAGATACTTCCTCAAAACAATTTTAATAATAAATTAGACAAACAGAGGCTGCTAGCAAAAACTTACTATAGAGCAAGTGTTTTTTCCAGTTTCATTTCAAACTGGACTGATGTGGAAATTGATCATTCAAATACCAAGCGAATCAGGGTTGGGGAGTGGTGGTTCTTTCACTGTTCACATTCACTGTTGTCTTCCATTGTGACTGACTGTTACTGTTGTTGCCAAGGCTTTGTTTCCATTGTCATGCTTTTCTTTCTATTGCTAATATGCTCTGTCTCTGTTTTGCACTTTTGACCTGTAGGATAAGTGGTACCCATCTCAGCAAACCATTTTTGTCTCTGATTTATGTGAAGGGCCATTTCTTAAAAACAAATAAACAACAAAAAAATATTATTCTGAACTAGAACCTTTTATCTTAATTTTTCTCTACAAAATGAATTGTAAACAAAGAAAATGGGAAAACTGAATAACAGTTTTAAATTGATAACATTTGTGTTAAAGAGTTGTCTTAAAGAAGGAATAGTATGTTGGCTGGCCTCTGGCTCAGATGAGTGAGGCAAGAAAGATTCAAGTTTAAATACACCCTAGTATAATATCTTTAGCATGCAGGTCCTTTCTTCGCATTGGTCTGAGACCCCATGAGGGTGCTAGAAATACTACAGTGTCATTCTTGGCCTTTAATTAAGCAACAGAGATGTGAAACACACCAGCCTGAAAAGTGTCTCTTGTAACTGATTTTGAGTATGACTCAGGTCATGTCTAGCTAACTGGAGCATGCTAATACTACTATACAAGTGCACAAATAAGATTGCTGACTAATTCTGCATGGTTATGTGGTCTTCTATCTAGACCATTTCCACTAGCAAAAATCTGGAACAGCTGTAATTCTGGTTCAAACTGCCATGGTTCGTGTGTATGTTGCAAGTTGAGATTGAAGTTCTGGGCACCAAAATTCAGAACACACCTGGCTAATGTATTGGTACCTACTGGGACCTTTCCCTTTGTGCCTTTTCAAATCTCCCTTTCTCTTCTCCTCACCTTACTTAACAGTCTTGGAGAGATTGTAAAAGCAGAATAGAGATGATCCTCATCTTCTGTGTAATCTGTACTGTTAGGGCAGAAAGAGCCACGGGAGAAAGAGGCTGTAGGGCAGCCGTTGTTTTTACAACAGGGAAATGTAATGTGCAGGCCATTAGTGTTCCAGGTCATGCTTTCAGAGCAAACTCATGGAACAAGCTTATGACTGGGGAAATAAGGGGGCTGAAGGAAGTGGGGAGTGATGGAGAAGACAGAAAAGGAGTTTGAGGCTGTGCAAGGTTGAGATAGAACTATCTTGCTGATACGTGCCATATGTGCAAGGCCTCATGGATTGCCTTTCCTCTCAAGAGGCAGAACTGCTGCTTTGCAAAAATTTAAGGTTAGAGTTGAATACAAAGAAACTTTCTTTTTTTTTTAATCAAAACCATAAATTTAGCAGCATTCGATACAAATACTCCAAACATGTTAGACTGTCTTTTTCTTTTCAAAAACATCTGGTCTGGATGGTCTGCAAGTTAGGATTCATTTAGTGGCTGTAGGAGTGTATATTCCACAATTGCAGGGCTTTCTAATACTCCTGTACCAGATAGTGTTGGCGTTTCTCAAATGGCTGATGACAAATGTTTCCATCAGACAGAGAGGATTTTACAAGGGCGGAATCTAAATTCTCTGTTTGGAAGAAACCACAGTTATAATACATTGCCATCAGCCTAGTGTAACTTCTCTAAAATTGTTTGCAGTCACACTTTGAATGAAGAAACATCAGAAGTAAATAACGTCAGGACTGTAATATCCCAGTCCTTATATCCCATTGGTCCTGCTAGAATTTTTTCCTGAAGATTGTACTGGAATTTCAAGTGGTGAGGAAATGTGTTTCCCAATCAATGTCTCTATGTTTGGGCTTTGTTTGTCATGTCTGTTCTTCCTTTTTCTTCCCTTCCCCAAAGTTACAACTTTGGAAATTGAGGATGCACATGAGGGGAAGCATTTCCATATTTGTCCTTTTTCCTAAACATGTTGCTGACTATTGTCAAGAATTGGATTCTGGAGCTAGCAACGTTTGGTATAACAGAATAAAGCAGTCCTCAAAGTTTGTGATCTAGAACATTTCAAGTTCTTGTCCTGATTAGGCCATCACTGTATTCACAGGACTAGCTTTCCAAACTAAATCTCTAGGATCATCTTTAAGGCTGTATGCAGCCAGTGAAGAAAACACTGAGCAATTCCCCTTGAAAAATTTAAGAAATAGAATGATTCTGGGATGTATTACTCATAAGCAAGCTGCTAATATTTTACTTTTTTTTTTGGTTGTTGTTTGTTTGGTTGGTTGGGTTTTTTTGTTACGGTAGTTAAAGCAGCTTTGGCAACCTGGGTTTTGTCAGCCTCTTCAGTTCTGGAAGTCTGTAAGAATGACACACGCTTATCAATTCATACGTCCACCAAGTGTAATTCCAAGGCCTTTGTGAAGACAGAGCTTCAATCCTTATCTGACAGATGTTCCTTCTACATTGTTCACTGTTAGTTTATCTGTAATTAATGTGCAAAAGGAAGATATTGCTACTTATTTTAGACTTGAAGTGCTTAGAAGTTTTCTATATGTTGTCCATTGTCCAGGTTGTTTAGATGTAATCCATACATTCCTTCCTCTTTTCCAATTTAGCAAAGGATGTCCAGCCTCTTTATGTTCTTGTGAACAAATGATCTCCAATGATGCTTTCCAGAATTTCAAGGTCAGAAAGGGGACTGCTCTTGAGCCAGTAAGTTCTTTAAGGAGATGGGTTACCTGTGCGTAGAAGAGAGAGATAGCACACTTAAAAGAACAACAGTGATAAGACAGAGCCACCTCTGTGGCCATCTCCCCTTCCCATCTATGCCTCTTCCCCCATCTCAGGTTCTCATCACAGCACCTTTTTCCCTGGAAAATCCTCAGAATAACCAGATTTCTTTCTTTTCTTCCCATGGTTCTTTTTTCACAAGTCTGTTCATGGATTGAAAATATTAGGATCTGTGTTTGTAGTGCTGTGGAGAGAATATGTATTGCTCATTCATGAAGGATTGTTCTACTTTTATTTTACAGATATTTCAGTATGATGATAAAAGTTGTTCGAGCAGTGATATTCCTACCTTGGAAATAAAAAAGCTGCAGGAGCAGAATGCCAACCTTCGGGCTGCTATTGCACAAATGAGGAGAGAAATGGAGAGTCTCAATGAGCAGATGTTGTCCTCTCTTCCTCTGAGAGAAAACAGACAGCTTGCAGAGCAAGGTGAAAATTCTTGCCACAGAACTCTGAATTCAGTTAAGGGAGTGTAGTGGTCATGCTGACGGCCTGTGAGGGCTACTGAACCCACAGGTGTGTAAAGATCCTGACCATGGGGTTCTCAGGATTCCACAATACACAAGCGCACAGAAGTCTGAGATTCTGAGAACTTCTCTGTTACAGATTACTACAGAACTATTATTGGTAAAAACAAATAGACAGACACACACACACTGGAAGTCACTGCTAGATTACCACTAGGAAGAGCAAATGTTTATGTATATTGCAAGGGTAAAGCAAATATATTATGAGTTATTACAGAATCCCAACTAGTGAAGCAAGTATATAGGTTCACAGAATGGTTTGGGTTGGAAGGGACTTTTAAAGATCACCTAGTCCAGCCCCTCTGCCATGGGCAGGGACAACTTTCACTAGATCAGATTGCTCAAAGCCCCATCCAGCCTGGCCTTGAACGCTTTTAATGATGGAGCATGCACAACTTCCCTACACAACCTGTTGTAGTGTCTCACTACCCTCATCATAAAACGTTTCTTCAGAGGAGAGGTACTCTAGCCCTCTGATCATTTTCATGGGCCCTCGCTTTCACAGGTCCACGTCTTTCTTGCAAACCTTTACCTATGCACATGCCTATAAATATATTATGTGAGGTATTACTGGTATGACGCTCACCAAACAGCTCCCAGAAGTGGGGCTAATTGACAATGGAAAAAAGAGTCTCACCTCAAAGATGATCCACATTACTGCATCAGGAGTTGGGCAGGCATCTCCAGTGAGGGTCTGGTCTGTTTGGGAGCTCATGTGCAGGGAGGATCTTGCAGAGAGGCTCATTTGGGGCAGGTAACAAGTTACTTTTGACACCTTTTTGGTGTAGATATATAAGTGGGCATAGGACATCAGTTTCGGGTGTAGCTGTTGCCAGCTCCTGTTTTCCTAGAAGGTCAGTTTATCACAGTTTCTTTGTCCTGCACTCATTAAGCTTTCTTTGTCCTGCCTACTACTAGTGAACCTAAGGAGAAACCCATCTTTGTTCGGATGTTTACCAGGTGGCCTTTGTGGTGGCTCCATCAGGAAGTTAAGAATTTTTAAAAGTCTCAGTATTAAAAATATATAATACTTTCAAATGCATCCATTTACCAGGTATTGTCACACATTAGTTGGGTGGGTTTTAGCATCTCTTAAAAACATTTCAGCATATAATGTCTTACACTTACATTTTTACTTTTTTTCATTATTCTTCATGGGAAAGTCAAAGCTGATTTTTAAAAAAAAAAAAATCTGTGGAAGGTATGTCCATTACAACTAGACACATTTTGTAGTAAATTTCTGATAATTTGTTAAGTTCAGGTCTGATTGGCCTTTATGCAGGCCTGCTTAGAAACAAAACTGGATTTTTTTTCTTCATAAACATTCTTGTGACTTCTGGAAGTCTGGAGAAAAGAGCAAGGGAATTTAACTGTAACTTGGTAATGGAATAACCAGCTCTGATTTGTTTTGGGTTTTTTTAAAAAAATATGCAAGGTATAACTTTTTCAAAGAAATTTTTTGCTTGTGGAATAAGTAGCCCTCTGTTTAGCACCTTTTACCAATTATATAAGTGCCAGTAGATCTCTGTGTCTCATCTATGTAAACATTTCATTTCCAATTGCTTCAAACTATTGTAGCGCTACCATGCATTATTTTCTGTATTTCAGAAAAAATAAGATGGGTTTGATGAAAGGTATTTTGTTGTACCAACTATTTTGCTGTTGTTATGCTTCTCTGTTTTAATTTTGAGACTGGATGTGTGCATTACCAGTTTGCAGAATTAGTTTTAAACTGTGATTTGTACAGTAGCCTGAAATCCTGAGCTAATTAACTGTGCAGGCATATTTAATAAATATAAGCATATTCTAACTTTGATAATAGTAAATAATTAATAACCAATTAAATCAAAATCTCTATTAATTTTAAATAAAATTTAAGCATAGTTTTTTGTCACAGGCAGCTAAAGTTAGTCCACTGTTTTTTGAAGATGTCATAGTCCAATATGTAAAAGATTTACCACTGCTAGAGTTTAGCAGTGTCCAAGAGAAGCAATAATCTTTGTCAGCTGATAAATGTAAGTTTTCAGAACTGTATTACCTGTTTTCTTTATGGCTGAGATTCAACTTTATTCAACAAAAATAATCTTTTTTATATCCCTTTTAAAAACGTTTGGAAATAGTCTTCAATCACTAAAAGAGAGGATCATCTTAAATCTGAAATTTTTAATTCTATAGGAGAGTAACTTGGAGGTGCAGTTTTGGTTTCCAGAAACTCATCTGTTCTTTCCCAACTTGTCCATATATATCAAAATGTTCAGACTCACATTTTTACTGGAACTAAAAGAAAACTTTTTCAGGATTAGCTTCCATTGATTGGTGATTTTTTTTTTTCAACTGTGAATGAAAGAAGCTACTATGTCATAATTATTCTTGTTACGCTCAATATTGTCAGTATCCCAGGAATGATTAAATAATGCAGTATTGGAAGAAAAAAAAAAAGCTTTTCTGTGCTCCTTACTCATGAATTGACCTTTCTAGTATGTCATCTCCCGTCACTTCTGTATTTTGTAGCCAACCGATATTCGCATGTTGTGAAGCTACTATTTTTGATATTTCTTCATCTCTGTTTATAATGTATCTACTGAAGTGGTATGCATGTATGTTAATGAGAGAAAATTCTGAAGCAACTGTTGCTATGAAAGCCTAAACCCTGTATAAATACATATACATTCATATTATACTCCTCTTCTCTTTTAGGTTCATTGTGCACAAACAAAATTGCAGCTGGAACCACTATTAGCAATATCAAAGTCAGCTCAACTAACTTGGATTGTATAGTAGACCCAGACACAAAAAAGGTATGAAGAGCTTTGAACCACCTAAAATATCTGTATGCATGTGTGTGTTTAAATAAATTCATAGCATATTATTTTTGTTTGAATAAGTATTAATAAGTGAAGCAATATATGCTTATGTGGACAGTTAGTAATGGGTGTAAGTTAAATGAGAGCCAGCAATTATTTTTTCAACCAAACTTATGCTTGGGCTTTCTAGGAAATAAATTTTGACTACTCATTCCCTGGCACAAGTCACTCCTGATCTTTCAAGCCTTCTTGATATTTTTTTTTGCACTGACAAATTCTTAAACTGCTGTGTATCACGTCTTTGAGTTTTCCATTGTAAATCCATATTTTATCCTTTTTTTAAAATAGAAAAAAGTCTTTCAATATGCCCTGTAATAAGGTGAATAGAGATGAAACTGTAGATGCTGTGTCACTACCAGACTCTGGTGAGAAGGTCCTGTGAAGCCTTGGCTGGGATGTATCCACCAGTGGCGTTGTGTGCTCGCTGGGGGGGGTGCCTTCTCCCGGGAGAACCTGTGCCTGCCGGCGCGCAGGGCTCGCCTCCACCAAGGCCACACTGGCGGGCTGCGCTGGCAGGGCCAGCGGCCGTGGCTGCCCTCTTGCCAGTGCCTGGGCCCCACAATGGGACCTCCGGCTGCGGTGGGCTCCCACGCGTGCCCCGCCAGGAACAACACGGTATGAGCAGGAGAACCGACTGAGCTTTGGCTCAGAGCTCTTGTCACCCACGAGGGAAAAACTCACTGGCTCTGGGAGTGTCTTTACTCAGTTCTAGGGCTTACAAATGCCATTCCCGTAGTGTCATTTTAAAGGGTAGGAACAATATCAGCATTAAAGTGTGATGGAGGCATCTCTCAGAAAATTAATGAATTATTTGAACGCAGAGACAGATAATCTAATACTGTGTAAGGAGTAAGTCACTATATGTTCTCCCCTCCCATCTCCCAGCGATTTCACAGCGTGGTAGATGGAGCCTGAAGTAAGATAGGTTAAAATACAATTAAAAAATAAAGGGTTTCTAATTTTCAAGTCATCTGTGAAATCTCTCAGTATCTGTTTCATGCTTTAATCCTACTGTTAAGGCTCACTAGTAACCATCTAAATTCAAGAAAATGGAAATAATACCCAGGTAATTAATAAGGATGAGAGGTGCTGATTATGTTAAAAAGGTAAGAGCTTTAAGAACTGAGCAATATCAACATTCAGATAAAACTTTGGAGCTTTGGGAAACTTGTGTGAAAAGGTATACAACCCACCAGGTGCAGATCACAATTAATCTTAGAAGTATCATTTTGTTGAATATGGAAGGAAATTTGTTCATTCCTGCTGTAGAATTATATGTAGAAAATCATTGTGTGCCAGTATAGACAACACAGATACATTTTTTTTCTCTTTGGCCACTTCCAGAATTAAGTGAAAACTAATTTTATACAAACTGTTATTTTCTGTTGCAGAAAATGTTTTACAAACTACTGTCCAAGATGCATTCTCGTTTTCTTCACATTTCATTAAGTGGGGATAGAGCCTTAGAAGAAGAGTAGAGTGTGGCTTTGCCTCAGAAACAGTACGATAGGAACTGAACATTCTCTGTGCCAAAAAAATTAATCCTTTGCTTCCTGATGCCAAGCTATAATTGAATGCTCAGGGCTGGATATGAGAACAAGAACATTTTTCAGGCAGCAGTGTGCATCTTCAGTGTGAAATGGTGAATTACTTGTGCTTTTTATGTATAGGCACGTAGTAAATAGCAGATGCACAGGCCAAAACTTGAAGTGAACAAAATGCTGGAATTGTAGTTAATGCCATCTTTGCTGATGTTGAACTATCATTTCCTGTCTTTCTGCTGCCTTCTTTATTTCTTCTTCCTTAGTGCATAAGAAGCCTTCTCAGGCATAGACTAGCAGTTGGAAACAGTCCTGAGAATATCTTACAAACAATGGGCAAACCTTCATTAGAATTCCCTACTGGATTTTAGAAGTGCTTTATATTTTAACATTCTTCTGCACTGTCTTTGTGCTTCTTAACATTTATTAATTGCATGCTAAGGATGTATTTAAGGCTATGATGAATTACAGGCAAAAATATTTCTGCCTCAGGGAGTTTAGAATCTTTTGAGCAATAATGGTGACTAAATGTGGGGGTGCAGATGTGAAGTCAATACAGAGAGCGATAGTTTTCTTTTTTTCCAACCTCCAACAGAGGTTCCGGGGCCATAATCTCAAAATGATAATACTCCAGAGCTAAAATGTAGCTAAAGAAAAAGAGTAAAGTTTATCCTGGAAACTAGTAAAATAGGCATGGTAGACTTTTGTGTGTATGTATTTTTTTCTTCTTTTCTCTTTGTATCAGCTCTGAGAAGAGTTTTGTCTCCCACCTTTTTTTAGTACCCGTCTTTTCCATGTTTTCTCTTTTGTATTATAGAGTTTTACTCGGGACATGGATCTAAATGTAAAAAGAATTCTGAGTTCCACTCCTAACTCTACAGCTTACATTCTTGTCACATGGAAAAAAATCTTCTGTGTAATGCAGTTGAATGTTTTTATGAAAAGTTCAGGAAAAATAGAAGTTTAAGCAAATGGTATTCCTGTCCCAGCCATGTGATGTACTTTTGCTTCTTGGTACAGTGAAGGTGGTACATAGTGTGACAACCAGTAGAATCATAATTGGTCATTGCCCTGACCTCTCATTAGGTTAAGCCTCAGTGTGTTAATTTCACTATTCATGTGATGAGGGTAGAATGCAATAATTTGTGGCTGCTTACATTAATTGCATTGATATAAATTGCTTTATGTACGCCAAAGTGGTGTTCCTTTTTTTCACTTTGATGCCTGTCTGCATATTTTTCAATTCTAGTCTTGCACTAATCTCCACCTTTGTCCCCGACAGTGTTTGTGGACCTGTGTGCTTTCTGTGTATGTTCTTGAAGGCCTCTTCTTTTATGGTAAAGCTATCCAAAGAAATAAGAGAATGAGACTTGCATGGCACACTGAGGCAGTGGTGGTTGGGTTTTTTGTTAGTGTGGATAACACCTTTCAGTGTGTATTCCTTGAATCACAGTGTTCAGGATGATTTAGTTGAAAACTGGTTGGAATCACACAGTTAAAGTGTAGTGCACTGCTAGCTATTTTATATATGGAAGAGTAAATGTATAGACGAGCAGGAGTTTTGTAAAACAGTTTTAAAGTGTGCGACATATTTAGATACTTGTGGCAAAATGTGGTATTTGTAAAGTCTGCAAGAAAGTGAATTATGAGTATTTAAATGGATATTTAAACATCTCCTCTAATAAGGAGGCTGAAAAAGTAAGTATATAGCTCTTGAAAAACAAGGATGTGAACTTTTGGGTAAATACTTTAACATAATGTATATGTGCAAGTGGATTCAACTGGGTTTGCAGAGACAAAACCAATTGCAGAATCTTTACTTTTCACTCTGCAGCCTTTCTTTTTAAAACAGCGTTTTAAGTCGTATCTACCCCATATGTGTATATGCATGTGAAGATTACACAAACAAGGGTTTGTGGTAGCTTGCTATCTGCTGTAAATTGGTTTTTTCCACATTTTATTTTAAGATTAACTGCTCTCTAGTTTACAGTTATATGGTGTTTATCCTATGTGTATTATTTTACACCTGTAGTTAACAATATTTGTGGGACCGTCCCAGGCTGTTATAGTTTGCCCTATATTGCTAACAAAATCTTGAAAATGGACCCTCAAAAATGGGCTGTAGATCAACTTTATGCTTTTTTTTCAACTGGCTTGTAATGTGTGTTTGTACAAACCTCTAAATCCACAGACCACAGTATTCATTATAAGCACTATATGGGGTTTTTTCAGGGACAAAAACCCAAAGTTCTTGAAGAAAAGATGGTAGATCTTGGACAACAGTTACCTGACACAGATCCTGGTGTTGGTCTTCAGTATGGTGTCAGCTGCCCTCTACAAGGAATGCAAAATAAACTGAAGGAAGCAGCAAGAAAAATCTCAATTCTGAGCCAAGAGAAGCAGCAACTGATTGAAATGGGAAACAGACTCAGGGCAGAACTCGGAATGGTATTAAAGGAAGGTAGGTTTATTCTACAGAATAGTGCTAGCTTACGTATTTAGAATAAAACCTGGAAATTTTTCCAGTTCATCCTTTGAGCTGGAGAGAGCTAGGCTTTAATATGAAAGCAAAGTGCTGGACCTGACTGATTAATCTGCATAATTTGTGTGAGACTGTGGTGGTAACTGTTGCAAGTAAGATTATCCTGTGGTAAAAGGTGCTAACAGAACAGTGGGAGTCTGTAGGCAGTAACTTTTTGTTGATGAACATCTTAGATGAAGGATTCCCTGGTCCTTAGGTGTCAGCATGGGAACTGGAAGTTGAACTAAGACTTCCTTTAAGAGCAGAAAAGAGATGGTTCATCTCTTAGAATAAAAACTAATGCTTTATGAAAGTGGAAGAGAAAGGAGAATAAGCTTACTATAGAGTAAACTTGAATCAGCAGCATATATACTGTAAGAAGATTTCACTGTGGACATTTAAGTTCTATGCAACAGTTGCTCTGGCCGTGAAGCAAAGGACAAAAACACAAGGCCCATTTCTGCATAGCACTGAATTCATCTGCAGTGAGAAGGCTCATGTTCTGTGGTTCATTTATATCCACTATAAACACTTGCGGGAATGTAATATTGATGATAAAATAACAACAGAGAATGCCTTCCTCAGTATATTCCCTCCTTTATAGGACTCTGGTATCCTGTTAGCTGTAAGCGCTGCACAGTTTGTATTGCCTCTGGTAGTCTTTTTCCAAGAGAGCTTGTCAAAAGAACACAGTGTCAGCTATCAGCTTTAAAGCATCTACAGCACAGACTTACAACACAGGTAATGATATACTCTCTGAAATCTAGTGATAATAGCAGTTAAGCCAGTTCTAATTCCATTAATATAACTCTCCTTAAAATTCTGCATTTAAATGTCTTTTATTGTCTTTAGCTGAAATCGTCCTTTGGGACCTTGGAAGATTTCATAAAATCATAGAATATCCCGAGCTGGAAGGGAGTCCTGACTTCACATACAGGGCATCCTAGAAGTTAAACCATATATCTAAGATTATTGTGCAAATGCTGCTTGAACACCAGCAGGCTTGGAGCCATGACCACTCCCTGGGGAGTTTGTTCCAATGCTTGACCACCCTCTCAGGGAAGAACTTCTTCCTAATATCCAGTCTGAACTTCCCTTGTGGCAGCTTTAAGCCATTCCCTTGCATCTTATCACCAGAAACCAGAAAGAAGAGATCAGCACCTCTGTCTCTTCTCCCCCTTGTGAGGAAGTTGTAGAGAGCAATGAGGTCCTCCCTCAGTCTCCCCTTTTCTAAACTGAACAAGCCAAGTATCCTCGGGCACCCCTCATAAGTCTTGCCCTCTAGTCCCGTCTTTGTTGCCCTCCTTCAGCAACAAAATTCTAATATTTCTGTATCCTCATGTTATGGAGCCCAAAACTGCTCACAGTACTTGTGAGGCTACACCAGTGGTGAGTGTAGTGGGACATTCAGTCCTTTTGACTGGTTAACTGCATTGTGCCTAAGGCACCCCAGGGTACAGTTGACCCTTTTGGCCACCAGAGCACACTGTTCACTCATACTGAACTTACCACCAACCAAATCCCCCAGCTCCCTTTCTGCAGGGCTGCGCTCCAGCCTCTTGTCCTCCAGTCTGTATGGACATCCAGGATTACACTGTCCCAGGTACAGAATCCAGCATTCGCTCTTGTTAAATTTCGTACAGTTGGTGATTGCCAAGCACTCCAGTCTATCAAGATCTCTCTGTAAGATCTCTCTACCCTCAGGGGAAGTCAAGAAGTCCTCCTAATTTAGTATCATTGGCAAACTTAGCTAGTGTGTACTCAACCCCTGTGTCCAGGTCATGGATAAAAACATTGAAGAGAACTAGCCCTAAAATTGAGCCTTGGAGAACACCCCTAGTGACTGTTTGCCAGCCAGATGTTACCCTGTTTCCTTAAGGGGTTATATTTGGGACTTCAAAATTAACTTTTTTAAACATTATTTTCATCCAAGGAATTTCAGAAGCACTTGTGTTAATGCAGCATAAATGCAATCCTGAATTGCAAGTATGAGTTTCATAAAGCTTAGTTTTAAATAAGTAAGATAGGCCATTTGAAGGATTTGCAGTATGTTCCAAGATAAACTTGAAAATGATTGATCAGTGGGCATATTTCCAAATATCCACAGTGGTGGGATGTTAAATCACCCTTGTCAAAATTATTGTAATAGCATATGTTCTGTGTATGAAAGCAGGATATATAATTAACCTGTCTCTTATATTTTGTAATTAAAATACTAGTTTTAATAATTAAATTGCAGCTTTCATTAGAGACAAAAAAGGGTAAATCCTGGCTCCCCTAGTAGTTAGTGGCAGACCTCCCAGTGACTTCGATAGTCAGGATTTCACTATGTACTTTATTTAATTGATCAGCAGATTTGTTCCTGTGAGGATTGAGTCAGAGCAGCTGGTTGTCGTGTAGTTTTGAGGGCAGTAAACAATGTTCTTTCAGAAAGCATGAGGTTGTTGCTCCAGTGTATAAAACTCCAGTAGAATTATTAACCAAGTTCAGCTGGGAAAATACTTCCTTTGGGAACCCATCTGGGCAACTCGTTCCAGTGTTCGATCACCCTCCCTTGGGGTTTGGGGTTTTTGTTTCCTCTTTATGCTTAAGCAGTATGTCCTGTACTTCACTTTCTGCCCATTGCTTCTTGTTCTTCCACTGTATACCACTGAGTCTGGCTCAGTCATCTTTATCTCCTCCCACCATCCCATCAGATACTTAGACATGTTGAGAAGATCACTCCTGACTTACCACTTCTGGAGGCTAAGCAAGGCCAGCTTCCCCGGCCCCTCCTCCTGTGTCACTGATCATCTTTGTGACTGTTTGCTGGACTTGCTCTGGTATGTCTGTGTCTGTCTTTCCCTGGGGAAACCAAAAGCGGACACAATAAATGTGGTTGCACCAGTGCCCAGTAGAGGGAAATAGTCTCCTCCCCTGGCCTGCTGGCAGTGCTTTCCATGATGCAACCCAGGATTCTGTTGGCCAAAGGCCTCAAGAACACATTGCTGCCTCATATTCACCTTGTAGTCCACCAGCTTTCCTGTTTCTTTTCTGCTGAGCTGCTTTCCAAGCAGTCACCCTCCAGTCTATTAGATTGAAACTTCTATCTCCTTTGCCTTTGGGGAAAAATCAGATGAACTAAAGCTAATCTCCTCTGGAAGATCCTGTTTACTTTTAATTCTCTCTTTATGCATTCTTATTTCTCTTAATTGAAATCAAGAACAAATTGAGAGTGTTTTGTGGATTACTAAAGTTCATCCAGGAGATTGAAGTTTAATGTTTCTCTTTTTACATACTAAGATCTCGGTGACAACATGAAACTACGCAGGAGATAATCCTCTCATGTTGTCAGGTTGTACTAAAAAATCATAATTGTCAGTCATTTACTTGAAAATTTTACCACATGAACACATTCTAAAAAGTCTTAAAAGTTTTCTCATCTAGACACATTCTAAAAAGATGGAATAACCACGTACTCACTTTGTGCAGGCCATCCTGTGGGTTTTAACCTGGTTAGTTATCACTAATTTCTTCAGATGTTATCTGGTTGGCCTAGATGTATTATCAAGTATATGAACCATTTGACCAGACAGTTTGAATGGCAAAGGTGAGTTTCTTAAAAGAGCCAGTGGAAGTAAATTCTAATGAATATTTGGTTTTTCTTACAGTTAAGAATGGTGATAAAGAAAAAAACCCATACTAACCTCTGTAGTTCCTTAGATTAAGTGCTACAAATTAGGTAAATGAAGGCTAAATGGCTCAGCTGGTACTAATTTAACCAGTTGTATGGCTGAGGATGACCCACTTTCCACTTGCAGTTTAGTTCTGCCGAAAATGGTTTTTTATTCCTGTGAAGTGAAACAGCGCTGCAGATTAAGCCACATAATTATACCCATGACAGATGTTAGCTGGATTAATTACAAAAGCTTCTGGGTCAGTAGATCTGAGAAAATAGTGTAAAATTTGAAGTGCAAAGATCATATAGCAATTGAATTTGATAACAAGTGTTGAGAGGGTCAAATTCAGTGTTCTGCTCTCAGGTCTTTAGGCAGACAGTTATCCAGCTTCTGTTCAGGATTGATGTTCTTTTGGATAAAGAATAGTAGTAAAAACAGGTAGTGCTTGTTTAGAGGCCTCAAGCATTGGAATATGAAAGGAAAGGGCTCTCCAAGCATCCAAAGCATCAGTATTTCAGCTGGGACAGGCATATATACATGTTTCTTGGCTAAGGTGAATCCATCAGGTTGAATCTATGGCGACATTTTGGATCATGTTCTAAAGAAACCTGGCAGGGAAGAGCCCTGTGTTTGGATGTCCTATCCCAGGTGCTTGAATTTCTCTTAGCTTTTCCCTAGCAGAAGATACCCAACAGGAGGGGCACTCCTGTTTGATGGGGAAAGGTTGCCTGAAGTCCAAAAGGCTGTGCTGTTAGAGTCAATTAGAACCACATATTTTACAATTTTTTTTCTACACCTCTTAGTTTTTCTTTTTTTACAACTCATCTTAGAACTTAGCTGACTCTTAAATTGAGACCAATGAATATTCATTGCTTATCCATCCTAGTCTTCCCTTGACTATTTTTAATGAGCTAGCTGTTTTTCTGACATCTCATGTCTCCCATGTTCTTTTTAAAATCATTAAAGATTGTTCTTGCTTTTGTAAGGATAAATAGATTTAAAAGACACAATGTGTCCATGGCTCTTGAAGAGGTGACATTTGGCAGTGAGTTTGCAGGTGGTGCTAAACTCCAGGAGTAGTAGCCCAACCTCTTCAGCTCATGAGTTGCTTTGAGGTCATGGTTGAAGTGGCTGTCATTGAGGATCTTTCCAGCTCTAGAACCTGTGGGATCATCTGTGTTACTGATGGAATTTGTCCAGACTAGAAGGAGGAATAGTCCTTCTTATATCCAAGCTGTTCATCTTCAGTAGTCGCATTCCAGGCTGCTCTTTACCCAGAACGTACCCACTGAGGCTTCAGCACCGGCACTGAAGCTGAGCTTCAGGTTGAGCTTGAAACACTGCTATTCTAGTTTGGGTGGTTTTCTTCTAGGTAATCACTCTTACTAGCCAGGCTATATTTGCTCTTGTGTTCAAAATCCTCATCTTTATGCAAAACTGAGATAACTTATTACTGTCATTTACTATATTACTGTATACAGGAATTTCAGTGTCAGTTATTTTATATGATGGGCTCATATTTTATTTATTTGGTCTTAAATATATAGCAAAAGACTTCGATATTTATTTTTGTCTCCTTTGGCAGGGCTGAAGCAGTTTGCTTTTCATCAGATCTCATTTTAATTGCTACATGTTGAAAGTTGGTGAAACTCTGTGGGGTCATTAGCTCTTTTTAGTCACGGACAAATTACTTTTCCATAGCCGCTTTATTTTATTTGGCTTTTTAGGACTTCTTTGGGAGTTTTTCTTCATAATTTAATCATGGGAAAAGACAAAAGTGAAGAATGACCCTGACAATATAAACTTGAGTAACAAGCAGGATGGTAGTAACAACAGCAATCAATGTAGATTTTGAACAGATTTAGTAAGAGGTTTATTAGGAGGGTAGTGTAGCCCTGTTGATCTGAACGGAGAATAATTTTATTTAATGTTATTTATAAGTGATTATTTTAAATCTAGCAGTATAACACCAAAATGAGCTATAAATGTATTATTTTTAGAGACCGTGAGTTATTTAATGTAATATTTCACATTAGGAGCTGCAGTATGCAAAGCAACAGCATCTCTCAAGGATCTCTTCTCTAATTGCCTGCCCTAGCTTAAAGGAAGAAGTTGTTCCAGGCAGCTGTGGGGAAGAAACAGAATTACTATCCAGTGAGGTACAGTGCAGTTTTATCATCAATTTAATTTGCCTTCAGTTGGATTTTTTTCAGTTGCAATTGCTCAATAGTAATCTCCTGGAAGACTTAAAAATGTGTAATTTTTTGTAATGCATTGTTTCTGTACAAAATAGTATTTGTTAATACTTATAGAATCATAGATTGGTTGAGGTTGGAAGGGATCTTAAAGATCATCTAGTTCCAACCCCCCTGCCCCAGACAGGGCCACCTTCCCCTGGCCCAGGGTGCCCAAAGCCCCGTCCAACCTGGCCTTGAGCCCTTCCAGGGAGGGGGCAGCCACAGCTTCTCTGGGCAGCCTGTGCCAGGGCCTCACCCCCCTCACAGGGAAGAATTTCCTCCTTAGATCTCATCTAAATTTCCCCTCCCTCAGTTTAAAACCATCACCCCTTGCCCTATCCTCCCTCCCCAGTCCCTCCCCCGTTTCCCGCAGCCCCTTTCAGCCCTGGGAGGCTGCTCTAAGGTCTCCCCGGAGCCTTCTCTCCTCCAGCTGAACCCCCCAACTCTCTCAGCCTGTCCTCACAGGGTGGTGCTCCAGCCCGCCGTGCATCTTCGTGGCCTCCTCTGGCCCCGCTCCAGCAGGTCTGTGTCCTTCTGCTGTTGGTGCCCCAGAGCTGGACCCAGCCTTGCAGGGGGGTCTCCCAGAGCGAAGCAGAGGGGGAGAATCCCCCCCTCACCCCGTGCTCACCCCGCTCTGGGTGCAGCCCAGCACACGGGGGCCTTTTGGGCTGCCAGCGCCTGTTGGTGGCTCACAGGCAGTTTTCCACCCCCCAAGTCCTTCTCCTGGGGGCTGCTCTCCTGGCCCAGCCTGGGTTTGTGCTGGCCATTGCCCTGGCCTATGGACAGGACTTTGCCCTAGGCCTAGTTGAACTCCATGAGGTTTGCACATCCCCCCTCTCTCCAGCCTGTCCAGGCCCCTCAGGATGGCCCATCCCTTTTCTCAGCATGTCCCCCCACCACCCAGCTTGGTGTCAGCGGGGAACGTGCTGAGGGTGCCCTGATCCCACCTTCCATGTTGCTCACAAATATGTTAAACAGCATTGATCCCAACACCCACCCCTGAGGAACGCCACTCGTCACTGCTCTCCGCTCAGTCATGGAGCAGTTGACCACAACTCTTTGAGTGAGACCATCCAGCCAATTTTTTATCCACCGAGTGGTCCATCCATGAAATTCACATCTCTCAGATTTAGAGACAAGGATGTCATGCGGGACAGTGTCAAATACTTTGCACAAGTCCAGACAAATGACACCAGTTGCTCTTCCCTTATCCACCAACACTGTAGCCCCGTCGTTGAAGGCCACCAAATTTGTCAGGCACAATTTGCCCTTAGTGAAGCCATTTCCTGTCACAAATCACCTCCTTATTTTCCATGTGCACAGTTTCCAGGAGGATCTGCTCCATGATCTTTCCAGACACAGAGGTGAGACTGACTGGCCTGTAGTTCCCTGCATCTTAATAAACTAGGTCTTATTATAATAACCTTAATAAACCAGGGTTCCTCAATCACTTTCATGATGTTGTAATTAATCTTCTTGTACAATGTTTAAAAATTAAAACTAATCATTTTCTTTTGTCTTGCCTCTTGCTGAAAGCTTCTATCTTTCCAAGACCAAGATGCCACTATGAAATTTAATCAATATTCAGATGTCTTTGATATGAAAAGTACGTATCTCTGTAAATCTGTGTTTGAACTTGAACAGGTTCAGCTAGATTTCTCTATTGTAAATCATGGGACAGAGCAACAAAAAGCAGATACATCCTCAAAGATCATTCAAAGCCATCCACTCAGGCAGAGTCCTAGTCAAACCCAACAGGTCCAGCTTTCTTCATCTAGAGCTCATCGTTTCTGCCAAAGTATTTGGCAAACTTTAGAAATGGGATCAAGCCCTTCCATTCTCAGTCCTCAAAAGAACACTGACCGAGGTAAGCATCCTTTGTAAAGTAGTCACAGTATTTGACTCTTCTGGAAGAATGGAAGTATAGTGGTGGATTCTTCCCCCTTCCACTGAATTTTTTACATGACTGCTACTGTTGTTACAGCCCTATAATCAGAATGTGAAGATCTAATGACTTACTTGAAGGGAATTTCACTGTTGCCAGCACAAGTAAGAATTAAGAAGAATGCCTATATAGCTCTCTGGTTTTATTGCTGTTGTTGCAAATACTTCTCCCCTTTTATTAAATACTCCTTGAAAATGCAAATATCTTTCTGTTTTGACATAGTCTAAACCTTATCTGGGGCAGATATGTGAGACAGTATCAGGGTCAGGATGAGAGGAGAAGGTGAAACCTAGATCATAGACTGAACATTAATCAGTGCTATACTTCTACAAAAAAGCACCACATGTTCTTGGAAATTTTAGCAGGAACACCATTTGTAAGATGTGCAGTCAAGTGTAGCCTCTTCACGGGCAAATTGTAAAGGAACTTTTTAACAGTAGCCATTGTGTTGAGCAGTTGTGTTAATGCCCTTAAATTAAATTACTGGAAGAACTTTTAGGATGGCTAATAATGGAGTATATTCCCTGGAAGGATTGTAGACTCTTCTTTATTGAAAGTCTTTATAAGTAGACAGACAAGCATTTCTCCAGAATGTTCCAAGTAAAGGTGATTTTTAGTTTTGAATAAGAGGCATAGCATTCAAATACATTATTTCTTACAGTGCTGTGTGGCTGGTTTATTTTTTTGGTTTTGATATTACTATTTTATCATCATCATTATTCCTGAGACTTGATTGCAACTGTGGAGCAATATGGCAGGCATTTAGCCTTTTCAAATGAGCTTTGTATTAATAGTGACCTGTTACCATTCCATAGATACTCGTGTGCCATTAACCACATACCAGACTGCGAGAGCAAGAATGCAACCAGTGGGTTAAGGGAAGTGATTTATTCCCCTTTATGTGGTACATCTGGAGTCCAGATTTGGACCTTCTGGTACAAAGAATGGACAAACTGGTGTCCAGTGGAGAGCCACCAGGATGGTGAGGACGCTGGAACACGTTACACGAGAAGAGGTTTAGGGAGCTGGGTCATTCAGTTTGGAAAACAGAGTCAATGGGTGGTCTGATTGCTGCTTTTTAATTAACCAGTGGAGAAGAGCCAGACTCTGTGCACAGTGAAAAGAAAAAAAGTGAAAAGAAAACAGGCAATGGACACAAGTTGTGTCAAGATCCAGTGTGAGCAGGGAGTGATAAGTACTGTGACATTTCACCCAGAGGTCCTTTCTAATCTACATTGCATCTGTTTTTAGACCAGGGTTTAGATCCAATGAACCACCTTTAGCAGCACACGAGGGGAAGAAAAAGTATTTAAAAGGGCTTTCAAAATGAAGATTATAAGTGAATTTATTCACAAGAGCAGTGCATTACAGGTACAAAGTAATGTGCATTACAGACCTGTGGGACTGGAATGGACGTAGTGCTGACAGTCATGATTGATGAGCTTTTTCTGTGGGGCTGGGACTGAAATAGGAAGAGTATTTCAGGTCAGGCCTATATTGACAGGATAAGCAAAAGGATGTCTGCGAAACATTACTGGTAGTGCCATGCAGTTTCATGCTGCTGTATGTGTGATGCAACACCGCTGGCAGCCTTACAAGGACATCAGTTTCTTAATATCTAGAAATTTCCAGCCACCATTGCAAAACTTACTGTAGATTTTTGAGGATCTAGAGAATAGCAAAAGGGAAAGATGATACTGCCAACGTGAAACAAATGAAACGCTGATAAGGGATGATGCTTTCCTGAGAACAACCTTAATTTGATCTCTGCATCCAGATTTACCCTAAAACACTTGAGCGGACTTAACTCTTTTATGTTGCTTAGCTTTCTCCTGCAGGAAACCATTCAAATGGTAATTAATTCTACTAGACAGAATTCTGCATTTCAGAAAACAAGACTGCGAAAGCAAAATTATTGTTTTTTGGAAGAACATCACCTCCAAGCAGCATGTAATTTTCAAGGAGTTCTGCTTCTGATTTTTAGCAGAGGCTTGCATTATTTTTCATGCCTGAGTGATGGAAAATTAATTAAATTAATTAAATCTTTCCCATTTAAAACTACTCACTTGAATGCAATACATTCTCCAAAAATGTGGTCACAGTGGATAGAAGCGTCATTAAGATGGAGTGACTCGGTATTGGGCTTTCAGATACAAGTGACACATAGACAAACTTGAAAGTTCAGTAACAAAGAATGATTTGCAACAAAACAAGCAAGTTAGTTTTCTTATTCAAACAATTATTTTACAAGTGCACTTGTATAAATTTGTCACACCAGTAGCTGTGTTTTAGGGGTATTTCTGGTGAAACAGAAACAGTTGTAGTGTGAGAATGATAATTTTATTTTATTTTATTTTATTTTTCCTGAATCTGTTGAGCAGCTTCATTTTCTTCATGTAGAGAACAGCCTATTGGGACTTTAAATGGTTGGCATGTCAAGTAAGCCTGCAGTTTGATGTATTTCCAGCACCTGACATAATTCAGTGTATTTTGGAGTGTTTATGACTGCATGTTAACGCTGAATTTCTGAAGTGGATGTTACATACTTTATTCATTTCACCATAGAATTCAGAACCTGTGGAAGCATCCAAGCAAGTCAGAAGGCTATGAGATATTTTAACTTTCTCTCTTCTTACTCTATCTACTGATTTTTAGTTTGCTCTATAGGAGTGAGATGGATTTAATAACTTGTATGTTATTTCTGCAGGTAAGTAGAAAGAAGGGGCTTAGAAGGAACACAGGTTTCTTGTTCAGGTATTTTTATTGTTCTGCATTATTGAAAGAAAAAGATCCTGCTACAGGGGTAGAGAGGCACAAGCCATGATTATATTAAAAGCATAAGTGTTAGACACATAGACTGTACTGGTAAGAAATATGCTTCTGTATTTCTTTCCTTTTAATATTCCCTGTCCCAAAGGTTGAGAGCAGGTGGTTGACTTTGGCTGGTGAGCCATCTCATATGCATCTTGACTGCTGATGACAGGCCATCCTCAACAGAAAGCTGCTTGTCAGAAGATTTGTATGCTTTCCTCTAAAAATCATGACACGTGTATAACCATGTGATTAGCTTCTGTACATGCTGCAAGGCTTCTCTGTCACCTGTGGGCTATAGGGCCTTTTTTGGTTTTAGAATAGATATTAGGGAGGAGGAGGGTAAGCTTTGTAAAACATTTACAAAACTGGAATTTATTTTTCTTGAAGTAATTTTGCTTAACAAAGTTTTTACTTGCTACTGGAGACACTTACTAGTTTTTACGGAAAGACAGACAAACATCACCTATTAAAGTTCGTCTGTATGACCATATTTAGAGTGAAGCCAATACTGCGAAGGGTGCTTTGTGGTACCATGTGAAAAGCTCCTGATCACCTCTATCTCCCTGGGTCAACAGAGGCTGGGATCAGTGCAGAGGGAGTAAGAGCAGAAGGCAAGATGTATCTGCACTTAGAATGCCCCACTAGTCACTTGTTTTATACATTTTTGGGGTAGATGAAACTTTATTTTCCATGCCAGAGGAGGCCTCCAGTTGTGGTGGGTGATCCCACTGTATTTTGAGAAACCCACCTCCACAAATACTCAGAACCCTGTCCTGGGCCTATTAATTTGGGTTTACATTGGAACCTAGCAAAGAATAAGATTGAGCTGCTTTGAAGCAAAGTAACTTTTCTGGTTTACTACTTGAACTTTGATAGGGGAGTTTCTTTAATTCTCATTGTTGCTGTTACTTGCAAAGCTCTGTGGTCTGAAATTCTACACTTTATGGATCAAAAGTTATCTTAAGTGTTTCCACACTAAGCAGAATTTCAACAGCTTTGACATCACAGACAGTTCTAAGAGCAATCCATGTGGGTAAAAAGCTGGCCAAAGAAAGAATCTGGTAAAATATTAACAAACAGAAAGAGCACTCTGGCTCTGGCTTCATTCCGGATCCAATCAGAGAAAGACTCATGATTTCTTCTCTGCGTTACATAAAACTTCATCTTTGAAGTGTTTCACAAATATTAACTAATCCTCTAGTTACATTTTCTTCACTTAAATGTTCTTCTCCTGAATAGGAACTTGTTTGAGCTGGTGTTCCCTCAGAAGCACTGTTAGCCATAAGCAAATATCTAGTGACAAGTTTCTTAAATGAAATTTTCTATCTGGAGAAATTTCAGTTTGCTCATACAAGTCTACCAGTATCTCTTCAGTTCTGAAAATAAATCGGTGAATATTAATTTCTGACTAGTTAACACACATCAAATAGAAGATATGTTAAGCATTTTGATACAGTATGAACATTTAGGTCCGTTTTCAAAAGCAATTTAGGCTCTTAACTATGATCTTACTAGCTCTTGTTGCCAAGGTCACATCTGAAACTAAGTTACAGGCTTGTAAAGTAGGTATACTTTTTCATTGTTTGTGAAAACCAAGCTGTTGCATTTAAACTTTACTACATGGTGCATATTCATGCTGATTTTATTCAAGGTCCTTCACACATGTGAACAGTCCCAAGCAGAACCAGTAACATATGAAGGTCCTTATTCAGTGTTCTCTAAAATATTTCACTGCAAATAACATTTCTAATTCTGCGGTATTTTCTATTTTGTAGAACTAGCCTTACAAGTTTGCAATTTCATGGTTTTAAATTTCTCTGTTAACATGGATTTTTAATGGTCGAAAACTTGACAATAGCCGTATAGAATGCTTGTGTTCTGTGATGTCTAACTGAGCAGCCTTTACTAGCTAAAACTGTAGTGTCTCTGCTAATGTCGAGACAAGCACACAGAAGACTTCAGAGGAAGGGATGCACGTGATGCATTGGTGCCTGGTTACTTTGCCTTTGCATCTGCAGGCTTAGGGCCTCATGCATTCTTTCTGAAAGTCATCCCCTTGGTGGAATACAAATGACCCTTTGGAACAGACTGTAAGCAGTGTTGTCTGTGTGCTATTATGGATCTGCTCATTGCTGTTATTTAGAGCACAAACAAGAGGTAGTCTCATTCTGCTGTGGCTCCTGTTCGAGGAAAATAATCTTTGAACCCGTATCCAGTACCTTTCAGACACTGCTGCCTGCACTGTCTTAAACTGTCGATGTGTGAAATTCTGCTTTATTATCTGCCACATGTGGCAGAGGTCTAGGGCACTATAATGATAAAAGTCCTTTCTCTGAGCAGGAAAATACACCCAAAGGTCTTCCATATGCTCAAGCATCCTCTGTCATACCTTCTGCATCTGTGGGAAACCACTAGGTGGCAAGCTAAACAGCGAATGCCGCATCAGCAGCAAGAGTCCACTGAGCTTTTGCCACCTGTAATAACAAATGCCACCAAGCTGACTCAGGGCAGAGATTGCGCACACATGAGTGAACAGCTGGTTCAGGCTAAACCCGAACATAAAAATTATTTTGAAGTGTCACGTTTTGATGCTAGCCACAAGGTCATGCTTTGCATAGAACTATAAACCCTCAATAGATTAATTCATTCCATAATTCAAGAATTTTTTTTTCCTTCCATGTACAATTTTGTATGGACTTTCCATTGTGTTTTGTTGACTATGAAAATTTACCTCATCCTACTAATTTCTCTTTGTCAATTGGTGCACCTCTTATTCTTGCTCTGTGATCGAATAGTAGCTGGGACTGAAGCCTGTTACACGCAGAAAGTTCAACTAATACAGGATGCTGTATGTGTGTTACCACAAGTATATTATGACTACTTCTGCTGTCTGCTTTGTCTCTCCATAGAAAATCTAAAGTTCAGTGCCTTGAAAAATAAGGATTAACTGGCTGGAGCCAAGCACCTGTAAATATTACCCATAGCTTACAATGAATACTGTGATTGACCAATACCACTTACATTACCTAATGAAGCCTGTGATAAGACTAAAGTTCAGCTAGTTGGAGATAGTGGTTTTCAGAGAATTATGCTAGAAGCTGCAGAATGAACTTCAATTTGTATTAAGATAGGTCTCCCTGCTTCCCAACCAAAGGTGTTACTTTCTGAGTTAGTCCTCTAATGCACACAGGTATTTTGGACACAAAATGAAGTTTTTTCACGGTAAATGCCTTCCTCTGTGAGAGAAGATGAAAAAAATACCCAAAACATGATGGTAGTAGTGCAGCTTTGTCAAGCCCACAGAATTGCCTTTGAGCCCTTTGGATCATGCCTATCCAAACATGTTTTTCTGCAGCTTTTATGGCTGCTGGTGATTTCATGAAACAGATCAAACTATTGCAGCCAACTACTTTATCACTGTTTCACAATACAGGACCAGGTAGGTCTAACTTTGTATTGTGTTGTCCAGCATGTTGGTATTGCCTTGATTGATACAGCTGTTCTCTCACAATGGAGAGGGTAGACCTGTAAAATGTGATGTTTAAAAACAACAGAGAGTTAGTGCTTGACTTGAACAATTACACCAACCTTCCAGCTGTCTTCCTCTCTCCTCTCTTAAACTGTCTGATATTAATGGAGGATGTACAGGTACAGATGAAGCAAGGACTGAGCAGAAGATGCCAATGTAATATACCATCAGCGTAGCAAGCCTAATGGACAGACCTGTGCTTCCTGTATACAGAAATGGCTCTGTTAGTGTAAGACATCAGCCATTTGGCACTATGGTGGCAATATATTTAGAGAAGAAGAGTAAACCAGTTCTCTTCAACTATCCAGTCTCATAATCAAGTACAAACATAACTACAAAGTATTTTTCTTTTTTTGAGCAGTGGAGTTTGAAGTTATATGTTCAACTGAGCAACCTGAAGAATCTCAGCAAAATATCAAATCCAAGGATAAATTTGAAATGCCAGCTGCAGATTTGACAGTTAGAGGAACCAGGCTGGAAGTTCAGCAGAAGTTAAAATCCAGGAATTTGTCTTGTGTTCATTCCGTGAAACCAAAAATCTCTTCTAATGTGGCAAAAATCCGCAACTATAATATTAAAGACTGATTTGTGTGTTAGCAGCAAGTTCTAGGTCTATACTTGATATTAACTTACTTTGAAATCTATAAATCAGATGTAAATATCTGCTTTGGTTTTTTATGTCGAGTTGGGATGCTTGCAGGCAAAAGAGAGAACAAATACCCCGTTTCATACTGTGAACCCTAAAATAAAGGGTTAATCTGTGTACATTATGAGATTACAGTCTTTGCTGCTAATACTGATTTATTTTAATTATATATGTTAAATAGTGCTTGCATCATGGATTTAGAAATGCCCAGTTAGTACATATGTAAAGCCTAGTGCCTTTAGGCAGAACTCGCAGGTCTTTAGCAAATATTTTATTGAGAAACTGTAGATGTGATTTAAGCTTAGAAGTGGGATGCCTCAACCTACTTGTGTTCTTATAATTACCAGTGCAACCGTTAATCCTGTGCATCTATCTTTCTACCTGAAAGGGATTCCAAAAGATTACACCCAAATCTGTATTGTTTCTCATCTTCTGTAGCTCTTTCCACTTGTTCAGACAGCATGAGAGTATAGAATTAAACTTCTGTTGTCACACCAGTAATTATATTTTTCTTTAACAAGAGATTGCATGGAGTTTAAAGCAGTGAAAAACATATTCATTAGCAGCACTTAGAATTGTACAGGAACATTGTAAGAAATAACTCTTAGAACAGATGAAACTAAAAGAAAACTTGAATGAGCTGTGATATAATGAGGGTTATCTATATTGTTATGAACACGCCAGGACATTGAAACAAGTAATCAGTGTATTTTTGTAACATTTCTGGTAATGCTGAGCTGTCTTGGGATATTAAAGTGATGAACTTTACTATAAGTATGGGAAATACACATGAAAAATGCAAGAAAATCCTTTTTCAGTGCAAGGATGGTGAAGCACTGGAAGGGATTGCCCAGAGCGGTTATAGATCTCCATCTGTGGAGATACTCAAAACCCAACTGGACATTGTTCTAGGCAGCCTGTTCCAGGTGACCCTTCTTGATGGGTTGGACTGGGTGATCTCAAGACGTCCCTTCCAACCTAAGCGATTCTGTGATTCTGTGAGTGGCATCACTGAAGTGAGTAATACTTCTCAGTTGCTGCTAAAAACATACCAAATCTAAACAGGATTAATGAAGAGAGCTACTTACCCATGAGTGCTTTTATTTTTTCTGTAGAAGTGCTTTCCTGGTACTCTGCAAACAGCTGTTGTCTTTGGCATTGACAACATGGTAGTAATCATTTTGAGAATTTGAATAATTATTTTTCTACTCCCTGCTGAAAATGTTCTGCTTTAGTGCAAAGGTGTTACGATATTATAATCAGATGCTAAAGCTGCAATAAATTTCATTGAGATGTTACCAAGCCAATATGAGGCCCGAGAGACCTTGTGAGCTTCTAACTCATTTAATTACTTGAAAATCCTGTCACTGGATTCAACATTTAACATTGTTCATGAGCCGGAACAACATGATGCATTCCCTTGAACCAGGCCCTGAATGAGCTCTTTCTGTTGCTCAAAGTGTAGTGGTTTCTAACAAGTACAAGAATTTTGGCACAGATCACATCAGTTACAGCTCTCACTGGTTATGTCTAGTACAAATATGTAAATTCCGAAGTTTTTAATAGCTGTAGATTATGCTGATTTTTTTTTTTTTATTTCCAATTCCCTGTTTCATTTTGAACTCTGGAGATGTGCAGTATTTCAGTGCAATGAGTTTCTGTGCATTTACGGGTGTTAAAAGCAGTGTGCCCTTAGAAAAAGCAGTTTGTTCCATAATCTTTCTAACACTGCATCTGAGCCTGGAAAACATTACTCTTTATTCCTTGCATCATGGATATAAGCTCATGGGCTGCAGATTTCAGAAATTGTGTTAGGTTTATTTCCAGGTTTTTAGGTTGTTTGCTTGATTGAGGGGTTGGGGGATGCATGTGTGTGTGTGTCCCAGTATGTCACCTGGCTTGCCTGGTCATGCAAACCTCTTGCCAAAACCGCAAGTTTAATTTATTCAGTTTCTGTGAGAAACAGGTTTCCATAAAGCAACTGTAGGTTAGGGAAGATGGTAGTTGTAGATGGTTTTGTCATAGCAAAGAAGTCATTCGATCATTGTACATTCACTTCAGAGTAACTGTAAGAACAAAGCATGGAAGTATGCTGAAAATTAACAAAATATGGATAATAACGATATGTAACCTGAACATACCACTTGGGTCACGTGTGGGGTGGTTGCGCTGAGTGTGTACTAAATGCAGGGGGGGAATTCTCATGTATTTCTCTTATGACCAAAATATTTAGCCAATTGGTCATCGATTCTTGAAAACCAGATTGAGAAAGTGGTGACAAGGTACTACTGTGGATGACGCTGAACTGTGCACAGAAAGGAGAGTACTGATCGCAGCCGGTCAAAGAGTCCGGAAAAGGTAAAACACTGAACTGCTGCTGTTATCAAAGGGTTAAAGCACTGCTACGATGTTGAGGAATCTGTGGATAAAGTTAAAAGTTCTGCCCAGAGAAGGTCCCGATCGATCTGTACGGCGCAGCCCTGGCGGCAGCCAAAGCCCGAACGCGAGCGGGGCCCCGAGCGTCGCGTTTCCCGCCCGCGGCGCCCCCCGCCCGGCGGCCGCTTTGTGCCGGAGCAGCGGCCGTGGGAGCCGCGGCG